TCTAAGAACTCGCAATTTTTAGGATGAAAAACATGAAAAAGAAACAAGAAACACCTCCAATCAGCTCAACTCCAAGAAGGGAGGTTAGTCGGGTTTAGGAAAGTCACGGCATTCGGATTTATGAATATTTTTTAATGCAAGGCATCAAAGCCTTACATCTGCCACAACTAGTGCAGTAGTTGTAGTAGGAAAACTGTTGACATGAACGAAACAATTGATAAATGTATAGCTGAGAACAATCATTCCATCAAGGATCTGAAACACGAGATGATTTTCAAAACTTGAAGTGCATGATTGTAAACAAAGCTAAATCTGGCACGAAAATGCAGACTCAATAAAATTCAAAACCACAATAATAATGAATCAAGCCAAGATAAAATGAAATATGCAAACCCTATAAATTACTCAAAGAGTGTAGAAACAGAGAGACAAGATCGGGTGACTCACTATTCAGGATTCATGATTTAAAAGCGGATTGCGCCTGTCGATCCAAACTTTTGGAGCCGGAAGTTTGGGCGGCTAGAGTAGCTGACCGACCGAAGGAACCGCAGAGCCCGGGAACGATGGATTTTCAGGAGAATGGGATCGAAGGGGATGATTACTTGTCGGATATTTATATGCACCGACAGGGAAGTTCTCTCTTATGTTAGCTTCGAAAGGCGTCTCCTTCCGGGGTTCTTTAAACTTATAATAAGGACCACCCATTCGCGCAGTACTTGCATCCCGTCATTTTGTTTCAGATTTGTACATTCAATAATATTTTTGGGAATTATAAATCATGAATAAAGGGATTCGATGTTGGAAACGTCATTCTAACAGGGCATTGGGTATTTCTTATCCAGGTAGATAGTTGATTAAAAATTTCTTATCCATCATATCGAAAATGTCTTATTTTTTATTTTGAAATGTTTCAAAACATTTATCCTATTAAGAAAATCAAAACACCTTTTGATCTTTTTTTTTTTTTTCTAATATAGCCCCTCTATCTAATCACATGCAAGTTACCGTTCAAATTCAAAATTTAATTTTATAGGGATAAAGTTAAAAAATATATATAAATATCGCGATCAAACTATTATTTTTAAAAAGTTAAATTCCTAAAACAGGATCTAATAATTGGGACAGAGGGAATATTGTAATTCATTTGGGCTTAGCTTGGGTATGGTGAATAGGAATCCATTGGAATGGATTTCAGGTAGATGTAAAACTAATTTTAATACAGTTTGATTAACAGGTGATCATTAAGCATTCAATAATAAAAGGAATTAAGATGTTTGGTTTTTTGAAAAAAGTGCCATTAAGAGGAATTCAGATGTTTGTTATAAGTGTGCTATAATTGACATTAATAAGATGTAAATAAAATGGAATAATTGACAATCCAAACACACTTATTTGCCAATTAATCGTGCAATCGTTTGTCCATAAGATCGATAGATATTTATCTTTTGTCTATGACTTCATTCACATTAGGCGGAACTTCATTATCAACCTTTTAGAGTGGTGCATAATCTTAAATCTCATTTCGTATATTCCTAACCAACAAATAAATCGCTAAAAGTAAGTTAATGCCACCTTTGCAACCCATAATAAAGGTATTTTGATAGTTCGTACATTAAACTTTTATTAATCCGTACTTAAATTTCTTTGACCTGTCACTTTGAGCCAATGGATATTTAATTGCTATTCTCTTCATAGAATTTGAGGCAAATGAAAATCACTCTAGTCTCATTTAATGACATGTAATAAACCCACTTAATATAATAGAATTTAATAGATTTTAATAACTCATTTAATCGAATTTGTGTGTAGTTATACAAATTTAGCTCAATAATTAGCACTCGCATGGTAATACGATCCAACCGGCAAACTAGAGAGATTTAGGTAGTGAATCGTCATATATATATATATATATATATATATATATATATATATATATAGAAGTTGTAACTCTAGTGATATTTCCTTGGATATTTTTGTGCATTCTTTTGGACTTGAAAACGTAGGCGTAACCTACAAAAAATGTATCTGGTTGGCAGAAGGCAGGGCCCAATGAAAGTCCCAAAAAAAGCCAACTAAAGAACCACAAACATTTAAATAACTTTTCGTAGATGCTGATCAATGAATATAAATAGCTGGGAAAAACAAGATAGATCAAACCGAAATTTTGGGATGGCGTTTTTTTCAAGAAAATATTCTGAGAAATGGTAGGCAAAGAAATTAGTATTTGAAAAAGGCTGAAGAGCATCGTCGACATGGTCATGCCTTCCCGAAAATAGAAGCTTTGCGAAGGCCATCTTGTTTTGTTGAATCCAGATCTGCCAACTCTACGGGTAAATTTGCCGTTTGAGTACCATCGCTATCTACGTCGCCTTGGATTGTCAATCCTTCGATTTTTGCCGCACCAGAATTACCTTTCGTTTGCAGGTTAATATCTGCCTTGCACACAATGGTTCAGTCAGTGCATTTGCAATCAGAAATTTAGTTTAAAAAACAAACGAATTTGTTGTTTGTAAACCAATATTTGGTTCCTGATTTACAGCCAATACTACAATCAGAGGAATGATGCCCCAACCGATAGCTTCTTAGCAAAAGTTGGCCAATCCTTCTCTAACTAAAAATCTGTTAATTTCCTCTAATCACACAACTTTTTGATATGGAGAATCTTTTGAGACAGGATGCGACTGAATGAGTTCTAATCTACAATTCAATTATAGGAACTCATGAGTTCTAATCTACAATTCAATTATAGAAACTCCATATAAACTACTGTAAATTAACTAACTTCCTCTGAAGGAGTTGGCCACCACATGTATTGTGGAGTAGGAAATCGAGGGTTCGATCAATATGGCACCTTACTTTCAATCAATAATATGCTACTATACGTAACTTTTTTTAAATTCATACGAATATGTGGTATACTCGTATGTTATGCACTCGTGTGATCCGATGACGGTTCACTTTTCATCGATTCTCTCGACTCAGCTAGGCCACCCCTAGAGTAGGTTAGACTAGATATGCCGTTACGAAAAAAAATTTACTGTAAATTTACTCCACTGTTTTTTTTTTAACTTTTGCTCGTAAATTACTTAAAAAATAAAGAAGAAACCTAGAATGTAGAGATTGGGAGGGTGAATATTAATTTTTAAAACTAATACTACAGAAGTTAATCAGAAGTACATGCTTCTTGCTAACCAAAAATACATGTTATCTTTGTGGTTGTTTTTAGCGTCCATGTAAAGAAAGACAGAGGAAACTACCTGGATTGGAGAAAACCCACAGAATGAATGCACAGAGGAGCAGAACTAAAGGAATGATATGAACCGCATTTTCTGCAAACTTGGCACGGCTTCTCTCTTTCTTAGAGGCCTCGGAGAGTGGTTCATAGACGGGCAACTCATTAGTTTCCAGCGACAGCGCTCTCAGGGCTGTGGACACCTTCGATGACGCAGCCGGCGAAAGGTAGTTGAAGTGATCATCGGTGACTCGGTTAGTGCTTGCTGATCTATACATGCTTTGTTAGTTTATTTCGATTCACAGCAAAGAGACGATTGGAATTTGGAAACAGTACCCAAAAAAAAAAAACAAACAAAGGTAGTAGAAGAAGAACAGAACTGAGAGGGAAAGCGATTAGTTGCCGAAATATATGCAAGCGGCTTGGGATTTGGGAGAATCTGTTATATGGTACTGCATATTTATGACCATATATTCTTGCTTGTATTGCCAAATCTTCTGAATTTTAGCAAATTTGTGTAACAATAAGCAAATTGGGGGATTCAGCTTTTACTTTCTTTTGGACCAAATCCAAAGTTGTCCGACTTTTCAGATATCATGGCATTCCCTAACCATTTTGATAAACTAATTAATCAAAGAAAATGTTATTTATACTCTCATTTTTGTTATTTACACGCTCGTAATTTTTAAATATATACTCCCTCCGTCCCACTTTGATACACGTTCGTTATTTTTTAATTATATACTCCCTCCGTTCCACTTTGATAGTTCTGTATTCCTTTTTTATCTGTCCCAAATTGTAGTCCACTTTCCAATTGAAAAATGTTGTTGTATTTTAATTTTCCTAAAATACCCTTATTCAATGTAAGTAGTTGTTACTATAAACCTACCCCATTTAATGAGAGTTGATTCTTTTTTTACCATTAATTCAAGTTCCCATAAAGTTGTACCATATTTAATGTGAGGGTATTTTAGGAAAATAGCAATCTAAATTTACTTTTCCAACAAAGTTAACTATTTTTTCTTAAACTGTGTAAAAAAAGAAACAGGACTATCAAAGTGAGACGGAGAGAGTAGTTTTTATTTATTAGACTATATGCTAAAATAAATGGTGGTTTTGGAATCTGCAACAAAACGCTACCCATGATTAAATACTTTTTTGGGATAAACAAGCTGAAATATCCTCCAAGCCTTTATAACAAGGACCTTTGAGATCGACAAACAACGAGAACAACACAAAAGTAGAGGATTCGAGGCTTTAAGAGTTGAGTTTTATTTGGTTCAAACCGATTTACTTAATTTTTAATACATTTGGTGTAAACTCGTGTGATTTTAATGTAATAGTAGATTTTACATCAATTAATTATATGAGCTGATAAATTTAAATTTATACATATAAGCTGCAAGAATTATATTAATGATTTCAACTGAATAGAATTCAATTTGTAAGCCCCATTTCCAAAATTAGACGACATAAATAACAATCCAGTCCTTTTTGAGTTCAAAGGAGGGAAAACTGGAAATTGAACCACAGATATCGTGGGGACGGCAACAAGGTAGTCCGTACTCCTTGCTTTCATTGTCCGACGGCAGTCCTATAATGAAAAGCCTGCAGGCCTATCTATTCACCAAAGGTACAGACCGCTATGACTGAAGCATGGAAGAGATTCAGCCGTACATTTTGATACATCACAAAAGGCTTTTGTTTTCAGAGCCCAAAAGAGGGTCCTCGGGGCCAGGAACTTGACAGGGCTTCTACTGCTCCTGGATTATTGATTTGTAATCCTGAGAGCATCGATGAAGCTCTTCCCATCTGCAATGTCATTTTGAGCACAGAAATCGAGGAAGTGTTTAAAGCTACTGTCCCTGTAACCCTTCGGATGCTGTTCATCAACTAGCTCTTTTGCAGTCTCCACCTTCTCATCCATGCCCAAAGTATGAAGACTAGCGATGGAGATTCTGATGGTGTCGCTGCTAAGTGTGACTCTGTGAACCACACTTTTGTACAAGCCATTGCTAAGCACCCCAAGATGATCGCCGACGTTAACCTGCAAGGCACCTTGAATACGTCGGACGGCGGTCCATTTCCCGTCACGGGAGTCTAGAGGAGCATCGGGCCATATTGACAGCCAGTCGTCTGGAGGATTTGCGTAGTGTTTGAGAAATGTCCTCCAAAATTGGACCTTATCAGCTCCGTCCTTTATGCTCGTGCCGTATCTAACAGGCTGGCGAACGTCATTGGACATGAATTTCACCTTCTCCATCGACGGCAGGTTGAAAAAAGCCGAAGGCGGCTGAAAGCGCTCCATCCAAAACTGACTGAGATATCCCATGGTCGACGATCTTCAAAATTCCGAAACAATAAATTTAAAAAAAAATTAATGCATATCGATTATTTTCTCGTTTTCCATGTCGTGATTTTGGATTTGTTGAACTTAGAAAAGCTGATAATCAAAAGCATTTATTTTGACACTTTCTAATTTAAATTCTCTAAAATCAACTTGTAACGCTTAACGACAAGAAGTGGAACAAAGCTTTGAGGGATAAAATTAAAGGGGTCTATTAGATTAATTGGTGTGACAAGAACATTATTGTTTCCACAGGCAGTCGAAATATCTTTGATGACCGCAGATCGCCTTGTAGGGTTATTCAAACCATTCAAATCGACCACAGGGATATTTGCAATTTCTGGATGTAAACTAGGCCTGCTCAGGGGTGCAACTTTGTAACCATTGAGGAACATGGCCGAAACCCCCCCTTTCTTTCTCCTGCGGGGTTTCGCCCATTGGAAAAGAGCTGGATTCCTCATGTTTCGCCTCCATCAATGTCACAACTTGCTTTTCATTCAGGCTCTCAAAGTTGTCAGCTAAATCAGAGAAATGGAAGATGTTGATCAGCCCACAACTTGTATGGGTATCTATGATTATGAATTGAAATAAAGCGAACGACAAGTTGAATATGTGCCGCTGAAACATGGATGCAACTGCAAATCCAGTGCTACGAATAAGGACCATTAAAAACGTAACGGGTTTGTTTGGATAGTGTATTATTTGAAATATTATTTGGAATAATTACTGTAACATTTTTTTGTGATGTGATGTATATGAGATGAAAAAAGGTAATTGAAAATATAAAAAGGTGGATTGGGAAATGTGTTTATGATGCAAGTGAAATATTATTTAGGATAAAAGCACTATCCAAACAAATTTTTTATTCATGTAAACAAAACCCGAAACAAGAATCAAGCGGCATGCCGGGTTTGGACATTTCTATGCCAAAAAGATCATCTAACTTTAGTTCCATTTGAATTGTTATTTTTTGAAATTTCGTAAAAAAATATATTGTAACAATTTAATATATATATAATAAAAAATATATTTATGAAAAACTTAAAAGTTTTCAAAAGAAAATGAATTTCCAAAAACATCAGATTCCAAAAGCATATTGTGCCGTGGCCCTGTGGGTTATTGCATATAAAGAAATAACGAGTGTGTTTGGATAGGAGCTTATTTGAAATAATTATTGTAACACTTTTTGTGATGTGATGTATATAAAATAAAAAAAATAATTAAAAAAATAAAAATATATGTTAAAAATTATATCTGTGATGTAAGTAAATAATTTTTAGCCATTATTTAACTATTTAAACACACTCATTGACAAAAGTCTTACGAAAGGTTTTGACAAAAAAAAAAAAACACACACACACACACACACTCGTTGGGTTTCTGGGGGCGCATCACTAAATGCCAAAAAGGTACAATAAATGCCTAAAAGGTTTTACATGCATGTTTGGCGTCTCTGTCTGTGGTTGTACGGCATGCTGGGTGACAAGGGATGATAGATGATTAGGGATCGATCGAACGGCCTTTGGGCCCCCGGCTTTGCGGAATCAGGTGCAGGTTCTCGTACTAACCGTACCGGAAACTGTCATGTCGGTCGGATCAATTACAGTTCGACAAAAAAAATTCCCGTACTAACGGACAAACATCTCCTTTTTCCTCCGGACACAAGCCACTACTGTGTTGATGTATGGTAGCCGATTGGACGAGGTTGATCCAATGATTCGATCAAAATTAGTTCATTTTTCATCTTGATTCTCGAAAAGCGGTAGTCCTCGAGGATCAAAGCTTGTCTATTTTAGTTTAGATTCTTACAATACCACAAATTTATTTTGTCATTATGGGATATACGCATTAATTTTTAACAGAAAGCTAATGAATCTGGAGACGCTTGTTAGCTCTTTAGATCGCCTCCGGAAAGCTAGGTGGCAATTCAAGATTTCAACCTAACTTTTTTTTTTTTTTTTTTTTTTGGGGTTGGAGAATTGGCAAGCTCACTCTAACCAATTTGAAACGCAAAGAAAAAGGAAAATACACAAAGGGAAGAAAATTGGGGGAGGGCGTTATTGAATTCCAACTGCGATTCATTCAATTGAGCTTCAAATTGAATACGATGGATGCATGTAGACCAACTCGATAGCACGCTGTGATTTGGATGGAAACAATCCCTACTTGTGCTTATTGCATTTTTCCATATAATAAAAAGTGGGTAGGACACCCCCGCCAAAGAAAGGAAAGGCTAGAATACAATAGAAATTTGATGTTAGGGATAAGAACAGATCTTATACTTATCGTGTCATCGTGTTGTGTTTGTGTCAGTAAATCTTAACTATAACTCAATTTATTAGACTTTCTTGTTGTGTCGTGTCATAATATGTTTGTTAATGGGTTGATTCAGCTCAATCCACATAATAGTTTTGATATGATACATTATTTTGTTAAATCAATCTATTGACTTATGCTGGAGACAATCTAGCATTTTAATCACTTATTTTAATCCATTTGATCACACAATCAATTTAATGTTACTATTGTTAAAATACACGATAAATTTTTTTTAAATACATAGTCAACACAAATTTTAAAATTTTTAAAACACTCAAAAAAATATAATAGGTAATGAAACTTTTCAAGCATAATGTAAGTTACAAATTTGACTTTGTCTTTATTGCTATTTTTTTGGAAAAATTTCTCCAATTTATCTTACATGCATCATATTTTAAAAGGTAGTAAAATAATTTTTCTCCAAAAACTCTCTAGAAAAATGTGATCCAATGAACCTTTTAGAAACATAGTCATATAGTTCCATATATGATAAGATATAAAACTTGTGAATTTTTAAAACTTCTAATTGAAAAATTCAAGTCAAAATTGATTGTTGTTTGTTTTTTACTAAGCACTCAAAATGGCCTTTGTAGTATTTAATTATTATCATAAAGCAAACACTTTATCAAGTTAGCATGTAAACTTCGTGTTAAAATCGGTTAATCGGTTAATCCAACAATGACTCATTAAAACTCATTTCATGTTAAAATCTAGGGCAAATTATCCAATTGGCCCTTTAACTCTTTGTTTAGGTAAAATTAAGCCCCTCATCTATTTTTTTCTGACTTTAAGCCATTGAACTTGTAAAACTGGTAAAATGTGGCCCTTTTAGCCAGTTTCTCCGGTTTTGCAACCGGAGAACCAATTCACACGAATGCAACTTTAGTTCTTCAAAGGGCATTTTTGTCCGCATATTGTAAACAAAAAGCGCACAACTCCTCCACCTTCCCTCCATTTTCCTAACCCAACCCAACTGCAAACTTCACAGCAACAGCCTTACCCATTTTCATCTTCTCCATTTTCATCTTCTCTTGAGGATCTTTGCGGAGGGAGAAGAGCAAGAGAGTTAATTCCTACTTGTCGGGTTTGGGTATCATCGACATTGAAGCAACAATGGAGGGGTGGCAAATCAGGCCAGAAAATGAATACTTTGATCCTGTCCTCGCTTATGGTATGTATATTTGTTGGAACCTTTAAATGTGAAATAGGTAGCATATTTAGTGGTCAGATGGGTGAAAAGAGTAAAATTTTGGTGGTGGGGGTTACTGAAAGTGACGTGCCAGTGGTCCTAGATGTGGGGGTATGGTGGTGGGCACCAAAGTTTGTTGTTTAGATGTTCAAAAAGTGTAGGGATTGATGAATAATTAGCATTTCATTAAAAGTTGGAACTTTTGTATTGTTTAACTTCGATTTAAGCATTACATTAGGGTTTCCCCTTGATAAAAAGCATGTGAAAAAGAAATTGAAATTTTAATTAATTATATTTGAATTTGAATAGTATATTTATCTGCATTTGTTGTAGCCCAACTTGTATTGAAACAATATATTCATATTGATATGCAGATCCAGAATGTGAAATATTTAGCATAAGATTACACCATGGGGGAAGAATAAATTGGAAAAATTATGTCAGTTATGAGAATGGAGAAGTGGCCTACATAGATATGTGTGATGCTGAACGTATGTCAATGCATGAGTTGAATAAAATGGTTGGAAAAGTTGGTCATCGTAATGCAACCATTTTATACTATTACCTTGAACCAGTTGCAGACATGAGGACTGGTTTGAGAGAATTGTCTACTGATACCCATGTTAGGACATTCTGTGACTGGGCATATAAATTCAAGGTGATGGAAGTGTATTGCCATCATCTGACAGACCCAGAAATTGAAGAATTGAAAAATGCTGTAATAATAGAGTCACCAGACAAGGGGAAAAAGAAAACTGGAGTTGTCATAGAGGAAGTAGATGAGGAAGAATGCATAACTAGATATGTAGGTACTGGGAAGAGTAGTAGAAGGGATTGTATGGTTGGGAATGTAGGGGGTGAAAAAAGAACAAAAAACAGTCAAAGGGATAGTAATGTTAGGCCAGTAGAAGGTGTAGATACGGTTGAAAAGGTAGGGGGTGCAAAAACAGCAAAAAGCACTCATGCAGCTAGTAATGTTGGGACAGAAGAGGGTGTTCATGAAGCTGACTATGGTGGTGGTGAACACGAAGGTGAACATGAAGCTGATGGTGAACATGAAGCTGACTATGGTGGTAAACAGCAAGGTGAACATGAAGCAGAAGGTGAAAACATAGATGATGAATCTGAATCACAAGTAGAGGAAGAAAATGATAGATTCAGTGGTGCCAATGACTATGGTGGTGAAGAGATTATGCTGCACATTTTGAATTCGAATGCTGATGGTTGTGGTGAAACTTCACAGCAACAGCAGAGAGATGAAACAATTGACCAGACGCAATATTCAGAACAGGAGAATGTTTGTGGAAGGCAAACAGAAACTGACTTGGAAACACAACAGCAAGGTGCGAGAAATAAACAAATTAGGAGAAAGAGAACCAGATCAGCAGAACAAACTAGCCAGGCACCAGAGGATATAGATTCACTCCAACAAGATTACATCCCTGATCACCTGAGCAGTGACAATGACTCTTCAGATGATGAATTCAAAGGGAGATACAAGGACTTTGTCCTAGAGAAATTCCTCAGGGATCCCAAATTCGAGATTGGGATGAAGTTTGAGTCAAGAGCACAATTCAAATCTGCTGTGACCGAGTATGGGATTAGGATGGGTAAACCTGTTTGGACTAGTAAAAATGAGCCCACCAGGGTGAGGGCCAAGTGCAGGGAACCATGTAAATGGTTTGTATTTGCTTCAATAGAAAAGGCTCTGGGCACAAAGGACTTGGTAGTAAAGAGTCTACATGATGTCCATGAAACATGCAGCCATGCATGGAAAAATAAGAATATTACAGCCAAGTGGCTGTCTGACAGGTATGTAGAGAGGATAAGATCAAATAACAATCTGCCAACAAGAGAGTTAAGGCAAACAGTCCATGAAGACTACCAGGCAGAAGTATCTAAGCATGTTGCAGCTAAGGCGAAGACACTAGCAATAGAGAAGATCAAGGGGTCAGCTGAGTCACAA